TAGCGTTGCTAATTGTTAAGGAACTATTCAAAACCACAATGAGATACTACCTCATACTCATTAGGATGACAACTATAAAAGCAAAAACAAAACATAAAATAACTAGTTTTGCCCAGGATGTGGAAAAATTGGAACTTGTGCATTGTTGGTGGGAATGTAAAATGGTGCAAATGATATGGAAAACAATATGGCAGTTCCTCAAAAAAGTAAAAATAGAATTACCATGTAATTTAGCAATTCCACTTCTAAGTATACATCCAAAAGAATTTAAGACAGGGACCTAAAGAGATATTTGTATCCCCATGTCCATAGAAGAATTATTCACAATAGCCAAAAGGCAGAAGCAGCCCAATTGCCCATCAATGGCTGAATAGATCAACAAAATGTGATATAGACATAAATGGAATATTATTCAGCCTTAAGAAGGGAAAGCATTCTTACACATGCTGCAACATGAATGAACCATAAAGACATGCTAATTCCTAGATAGTCACAAAGGACAATGTATGATTCCATGTATATGAGGTATTTGGAATAATTAAATTCAGAGACAGAAAGTAGAATGGTGGTTGCCAGGAACTGTAGGAAGAACAGGAAGGAATACTTGTTTAATGGGTGTAGAGGTTTAGGATTGCTAGATGAAAAGCTGTGGAATGATAGTAGCACAAAAATGTGAATGTACTTAATGCCACTTGAACTGTACACTTAAAAATGGCAAGGATGGTAAATTTCCCGTAATGTGTATTTCACCAAAAATAATAAAAGGATTGGAACTGATTTCTTGAGAGAGAGAGAGAGAGAGAGAGACAGAGAGAAAAGAAAGAAGGGAGGGAGGGGGAGAGAGAGAAAGAGGAAGGAGGGAAGGAAGGAAAGGATTAGCAGTACCAGGGGGTGGGGGGAATATAACATCAATAAGGGTACCCATATGACGACCACTTGTATACCTGATCCTGAAGTGTACCCCACATCTCTAAAATAATAATTAAAAAATAAAATAAAATACAAAAAAAGAAATAAGCTGGGCACATGAAGACAAATCCCTTATGATTTCATCTCACTTATATGTGAAATCTAAAAAATCAAACTCATATAAGTAGATAGTAGAATGGTGGTTACCAGAGACTGAGATGGAAAAATGGACAAGAAAAGGGAAGATATTGGTTGACAATACAAAGTTTCTATTAAATAAGAGGAATATATTTTGGTGTTCTATTGCAAAGCATGGTGACTACAGTTAATAATAATGTATATTTCAAGATTGCTAAAAAAAATTAAATATTTTCATCACAGAGAGATGATAAATATTTGAAGTGGTGAATATGCTAACTATCCTGATTTGATCATTGCACAATGAAAGCATGTTTTGAAGTATCACATTGTATCCCACAAATATACAATTGTTACTTATCACTTTAAAAAATAACCATTAAAAAAAGAATCTTGGCCTTACCCAAGGATCTCAATGTTAACTTGCTGCATTGTTCTGTCTTTAGATTTTTCTTTTATTAATAAAGTTGTTAATAATATTGAAATTGCTTAGGAAATGAGTTACAAAAATCTTCAAGGCATTATTACAAAAGATTAGTAAATATTGGACCTAAACTATAGGATATAAAGGCCTACAATAAATTCATGTTAATTAAAATTCATGTTAGTGAAATAATCTAAAAGCAGAAAACAGACCATGCATTTTGGGAGCCTCAAAACATTATAGAGATTACATTAAAAACTGTGAATAGAAACTAGCTACTTGTCCACCTATAGAGAAACAAAGGAGAGCCAATTCTGGCAGATTAGCCCAAAGCATATATAAAGATAACTTCTAAAAGATTAGAGCTCTAGATAATTAATATAAAACTTTGAATCTAATAAACCAGACCATTTACATAATCTGTGGCACATTGTGAAAAATAAAAATGTGTGGTGCCTTGTTCTAAAATTATTAAGAATTACAAGATGGTGATCACAAAGCATTAAACCAAGCGTGGGTCCCTTCTGAGTGCAAGGTTCTGTGTGACTACATAGGTCACGTGCCCATGACTCTTGCCTTGTAATAAAAGAAAATTTAAGACAATTTTATTTTAGGTGAGGAGAAAAATAATATAAAAACAAGCTCACATGAAACAAAAGAAGAAAATTGTTAATCATGACTTCATCAAAATAGTAAATTTCAAATCAAGTAAAAAACTGTAGCAAAATAGAGGTGAGTGACATTTTGAAAGAAAGAACATGTTGCAGTGGTCTCTAGAACTAAAGAACCTCAGGTTGAATTCTAGTTTCACAATGTATCATAAGAAAAGGGGAAATTTACTTACATCTTCTGAACCTCAGTTTTCTTAGGGTAAAAGAGGAATGATTTTATTACTTCTTTCATGGTTTTTTTTTGTGAGAATTAGATGAGCCAATATACGTAAAAAAGAACTCAGAACAGTATCTTGTACAGAACAAGTGTGTAATAAATGTTATTCATTTGTATTACATTGTTTAGCATATAAAATAAAAAGGAATTATTAATAGGATAAATATATAACAAACTGCTCCACAGTAACAAAAGTAGCAACTCAATAGAAAGATTTATTTATAACTGTTATTAGATTCTTTGGATGATTGGTAGATCACACATAGATACTCCTTGAATAAATCATACAGATATTTTCTTACCTAAAGAATAGAGCAAGAAGTGAGGATACACTTCAGATAGACCAGGATTTTCCCCCAAATGTAGTCTTTTAGACTCCAGGTTTTTTAAAAATAGTGTTATAACCAACTGTGAAGATGCATATTTACAAGAAACAAAAGTAATACTTCTCTTTATTTCTCTTTTTTTCTTTCTTGAAGATCCATAGAAACTCAGTAATAAATGAGTTAAATATTAAAACAATCCTCTTTCTGTACTTATCAGTGGGATATAACTGTCACCCATTTCTAAATTTTCAGTGTGACTTTTCTTTCCATTTTATACACCAGAGTATTTTGCAGGGGAGTCCCCCAAATGAGAAGGTAAATCCATACATCTGTCCTTAGAAACAAAAAGAAATATGACTAAGAAAATATATTAAGCCACTGAGACCTGTGTTGTCCATAGTTCTGAACTAAGGAACAAACTTAGTAAGAAAAGAAAGTAGAAAGAATGAAAAAGGGAAAAAAAGAAACTTTACATAGGAAATCCCCAAGGCTACTTGCATATTGCAGGCATGGAATGGTATCCTGTTTATTCTTATAAAAGTCTTTCTTAGCACCAGGGGACAATCTCTCCTTGGATTTTTGTGTCTAGAGATCTGAGGCTCATTAAAAAGCAGGTGACTTCAGCAAAAGAGAAGGAAGTTTTTGAAGATACGGAGCTTATGCTGCAGTTCCAACATGAACCATCACTTCAAATATTTTTCAACTTTTATAATCACTGGGAATATAAACTTGAAAAGTTTTCTTACCTGTGAATCAGAATATTCAATCAGGTAAGAGAATTGAAATAGAAGACAGGTTGGAAAGTTGTTCATATTTTCAATATGTTAGTGAATGATCTGTTTACTTGCTAGCATTACAATTAGATTTAGGATTTAGAGCTGATTTCCATCTATTGGTGGAGCTTCACAGTGTTTGTGGAATATAAAGTTATTTTACTTCATATATTTTTATTGCCATATCTTATTCTAAATTCAACATACCTAGCTTTCTAAATGTTCTTTTTATTTATTTATTTATTTATTTATTTTGGTAGAGTCAGAGTCTTGCTATGTTCCCCAGACTGGTGTCAAATTCCTGGACTCAGGTGCTGCTCCCGTCTTAGCCTCTTCAAATGCTGGGATTACAAATATAAGACACTACAAACAGCCTTAGACAGTTTTCAAGGCAAATTCATAGTCTCTTAAGTATTGAGATTTCAGTGAAGGTAAAAATTTACTAAAGACTAGTCTTATTGCTAACTGTCTTTAAGAGTTAGATAAACATATTTTCACATATGAGTTTTTGATATAATTTTGTTTTCTGGGTCAGAGAACCAAAAATGATAATTGCCATATCATTTGTATTTTAAACAGGAATGATAATTTTTTTAGATATCTGAAAAGTGGATTTATTTTAGACAAAATAAAACCAGGACTTAAGAAAATAGATGATAAGAAAAGACAGGATTTCAAGATTGAATAGATACTTCACCGAGAGGTCAGTATTTGTGGAAAAAAAAGAAACTTTAGTCTATCAGAGAAAGAACTGTTCATATCCAGGAATTCACAGATCTGACAAAGGAAGGTGTCTCAAGTCAGGAGTAATTTGGGATCCTATTTTGAGAATATATAAAGGCTGAGATTACAGAAAAAACTGAGCCCATCGTCAGATATAATACTGATAAAATTTAAAATACACTTCAAGTCGGGCTAGTACATAATTCGTGTGGCCATGTTTCATATCCCCATAGGGTATTATAACATTTTCAGGAATGCAGTAAGGAAGAGATCTGTAAGACAAAAATTTCTAGCCCCATTTATGTTCTATGATTAGAAAATGCAATTACTATTAGATTTTTTTAAATTTTAAAAAGATTTTGTGGTTGTAGTAAGGTCATCCTTGTCAATTTTTCTTAAGTTAAAATCGTGTAGGTGGCTTCTTACTAGACCAAGAAATAATACTTGGTTGTGTGCTTTAAAATTTCCCCCCATTACAGCTGACTTGAGAAGATGAAATGTAACAATGTAGATGTTCACAGCCAGAGAAGATTGTAGGCTGGCAACATGCTCTGATCTCTTGAAAAAAGAAAAATAATATGAAAACATATTTCAAAAAGAAATGGTTGAGTCAGAGTTTATAACAAACATGTATCCTTAATAATTAACAGTCTAAAACCAAAAATCCTATACAACTTCTGAGGTTGTGATTATGTGAAACAACAATACTTTCCCTCAAAATATTTTGGCTTAGTGAGAAACTTCTGAGCTGGAAGGACTCTAATTCCCATTAGCAATAACATTCAGACACTATCTTGTTTTTTGTTTTCATTTCAAGTGATGCCAAATCAAACCTCAGTAACTGAATTTCTCCTCCTGGGAGTAACAGACATCCAAGAACTGCAGCCTTTCCTCTTCGTGGTTTTCCTTGCCATCTACTTCGCTAATGTGGCTGGAAATGGAGCCATCTTGATGGTTGTCATCTCTGATCCCAGACTCCATTTACCTATGTATTTCTTCTTGGGAAACCTGTCATGTCTAGATATCTGCTATTCCACGGTGACACTGCCAAAAATGCTAGAGAACTTCCTCTCTACACATAAAACAATTTCTTTCTTGGGATGCATAAGCCAGCTTCATTTCTTTCACTTCTTTGGCAGTACAGAGGCCATGTTGTTGGCTGTGATGGCATTTGACCGCTTTGTAGCTATTTGCAAACCACTTCGTTACACTGCCATCATGAATCCTCAGCTCTGTACCCAGATGGCTGTCACAGTTTGGATCATTGGTTTTTTCCATGCCCTGCTGCACTCCATAATGACCTCTCGCCTGAACTTCTGTGGTTCCAACCGTATTCATCACTTCTTCTGTGATGTTAAACCATTGCTAAAGCTGGCTTGTGGGAGCACTGAGCTCAATCAGTGGCTGCTCAATATCGTCACAGGGACCATTCCCATGAGTTCTTTCTTTCTGACGCTTCTCTCCTATTTCTACATTATCACCTATCTCTTCTTCAAGACCCATTCTTGCAGCATACTTCACAAAGCTCTGTCCACTTGTGCCTCCCACTTTATGGTAGTTATTCTTTTGTATGCACCTGTTCTCTTCATCTATATTCGTCCTGCCTCAGGAAGTTCCATGGACCAAGACCGAATCATTACCTTCATGTACACTGTGATCACTCCCGTACTAAACCCATTGATCTACACTTTGAGGAACAAGAAAGTGAAGGAGGCACTGAATAGGGTGATCAGAAAGAGGATCTGACTCGAAAAAAATCATAAAACTTCTCTGAAGCTTAAATAACCAGGCAGTGAGAAAATTGAGAAATATAATTATACTGCTTCTTAAATTGTTTAGATATGTATAACGGAGAGTGGATAAAGCAAAAAATATATAGAAAAATATGCTCTAGTGGTATTTAACAACACTTTCGTAAATCATGTAAGGGAAATGTGAACAAATGGGATGCTAGCCGTGAAACTCTAAGGTTCAATTTGTTTTGGAGATATCAGTTGATGACATTGATTTGCTATGTTTTCTTATATGTTCTGATATAAGATTGGGTATAAAAATATGCCTGTACTACCCTATTGAAAAGATGAATAATTTTTAGGTAGGTTTTATTTGTATGGTCCCTCTAGGTTAGCACATTATAATGTTATCAATAAAATTAGTGTACTTTTATATCTCACAGAATTTAATTTAGGGCAATTATTACTCAATCAGAAAAATATATGCCACCTGACGTATGAGCTAAGGGGTATTTTAAAGACATATGTCCTGTTTTCTTATTTTTTAACAGGGAGGCAAATAAGTAACTAAAGCATATGACATTGCAAACACTAATTAACAAAAAATAATCTAAAGAGTCCATCTAAACGCTTTTAGATGTGGTTCATCTAAAGAGTTCTAGAATCTCTACTTCCACAAATCTTTCAGAAATAAATTGACAATACTGTCAAGGAATACTGTAAAATATTGTTAAAATTAGAAGCAGTTTGAAAAAAATTCTCCAGTCTTTCTATCTCACTAACATGTTATTATTTCCTCAGCCTTTGACTGTGGAAGATGAATGACTGATATTTTCTTCTTTTCAAAATTCTTCCTTTTTTGTATTATTTTCCTATTTCTATACTTATTTTGGCCAATTTTAATGTGATGTAATATGACATCAAATAAGTAAAATATAAAGAATTTACGAAAAATGTATTATCTTTTTCTTACTTGGCACCAAATTCATGCTAAGCGAAAGCTTAGAAATAATCATTATTGAAGTATTTCTGGAACTAACACAATAACTATATTCCTTCATTTTTAAGTTTATACAAAGGGCTGCTGACCCTTAAAGGATGGTGGCTTCCAGAATTTATAAATATTTAAAGAAGTTGACAGAAAATACTATGAAAAACAATTTTAGGATGGTACACTGACAATTCTGAGTTTCTGCATTTACTTTTGTAAATATAAGCAATTTGATTCTGACTTTTCTCCATGCTTCTTTTGTCTCCTAACTCTACCTTCTTTGGTCCCTCAATTCTAGTCTGGTTTACAAAACAAGATGTGCAGAGAAGGGAATTCCTACTCTAAACTGTCTCACACTAGCAGTAACATATCATTATTACTCTCATTTCTGTTGAAGAGAACTTGATTCGCAATCCAACTTGCATGGAGTTTGTGAAGTATAGAGGAGCACTAGCACTCTATAGGGTTTTTATTAACACACTAGGACCCCAAATTTCAGTAGCTTAAAGACACTTATTTAATTAAATTATATGCTTTTGTGGGTAAGAAATTGGGAAGAACACAGAAGAGAATGATTTATTCCACTCTGTAAAGTTTTTGGCCTTGGCTGGAATGACTTCAGCTCTGGGCATGGGATAGCTGAGAGCTGAGAGAGAGTCTCTCCTCCCCTCCCCTCCC